CATCAACAGGCCTAACTGCATGAGCAAAGCCAGCAGAATTTGACCCACTCTGAGCAGAAGCTGCATCAAAAACAGATTTTCACAGTGTAACTTCTGAGCACAGACCTACTTCAAGGCTTACAATAGCTATTTGTATTCCAGTAACACACAGAGGCCCCAGTCAGGATCATAGCCCATTGGGCTAGGTACTGAACAAAACTACAGCAAGAGAATTCCTTGCCATGTACTATTTACATTCCAAGGCTTGCTCCTACAATCAGATCCATAAAGATGAATACGATTGTAGAATCAGGAGCTAATTTAAGACATACTGTAATAACAAGTGGCAATAAAAAAAAATGGAAGGAAGATGGGAAAAAGAAAGAGTGACAATGCTAGGAATCACGTGATTACACACATTCACATTAGCTATGTAAACAAGTAGATAAATTAGTTTAAAATAGATAGATAGATAGATATCAGAAGGAAGATATCAGAAGTCCTTGACCATTTACCAACCTGATATCTGTTCACAGTTTCTCTTCGGAAGCATAAGTTGGCTATATTGAAGGGGCTTTATGAAATAGTTTGGGGATGGAGTATTCCAGGCACAAGAAGTGTCATGGAAGAATGCACGAAAGTGCTTTGGGAGAAGTGGAGAAAAAGCAGGTATACCTGAGAGATCACACAACATTAAGACTTTTGGAATAATTAAATACCACCCGAGAGGAAGATAGGTTATCCCCACCGTGGTATATTGTAAATTTTTGGATTTTTCATGAAAAGCAATGATCTTTATTGCCAACCTATTATTGAAGAAGACTCTTCCATTAATTTTTAGCAAATTTGGCTCTACATGTGTCTAGACTGGAGTATGGGTTTCTAAGTGGTTTTTAATTAGTAATTAAATTGAGTTAAGCTATTTTATTTTAAAATAAGGAGTATTTGACTTCTCATGAAGTCTTATGACAAGAAACTTATTTACAACATTGTGTGCTATGACTCTTTCTTTAACCCCAGACCTACAAAAAGCATTTTCCATCATCACGAAGCCATAACTTTCCCCATTGTTTATCATTACAACCAACCAGCCTTTATTATCAGGAACTAAAGCCCTAATCCTGCAATTTAGAATGTGGGCAGACTGCTCCACCTACATGGAGCCCTCCAGAAGTCAATGGGGCTCAGCATGGGCACAGCAGTCTACCCACACATTGTAAGTCGCAGGAATAAGATTGAACAATTGCCTTTTCATAGGTGGTGTGAACCTGCAATCCATAGAGATGCTTTCCTAAAAGATTGCTAACATTATGAATATGAGAACAGCATATATAGTGTGACCATACATCATATTCTTTCCCATTTCTCCTATCAGCTCTTCCCCACAATACCTAATTTTTCATTGATACACACTCAGAAGCTGGTCATTTCTGATTTAATTTTGCCTAAAACAAGAGCAACATCCTCTCATCTGAGGGCTCTAATCTACTTCTAAATCCCAGCTTTCCAGACAGCAGACTTGCACAGTACCATTGCACCACTAAGTTGACTACTAGGTAAACTAACATAGTATAGAAAAAAATAGACCCCAATTGTGCTAGTTGGCACTGTGGAGTCATGGACTTCAATGGAGCTTCAGGCAGGCACCTGAGTCCACCTGCCTGGAGTCACTTGCAGGCCCCGGGGGCCACAGATGGTATTTTCTGGTGATATTAACTTGAATTCTGTAAGTCAATGTCAATTTTACAAACTCCAAATATATGAATCTCTGTGATACCTGAAACGCATATTTGGTCCTGTAGATTAAACTTCTATAAAAACTGACACATGTTTTTATAAAACTCCAATTTTAAGAAAGCTTTGGATGCCTCCAAAGACATCTGTAAAACTGGGGTACACTTGTATAGCCGTACACACTCTACAGATACGTTTAAATTAGGCCTTTGGGTTACTAAACAATATAAATAAACAAAGCAGGTCTTGTGACTCAGAATAGTTGGCTAGCAATTGGCTAAAATGGGGCCACATAACTACACCTCTACCTCGATAGAACGCTGTCCTCGAGAGCCAAAATATCTTACCACGTTATAGGTGAAACCGTGTTATATTGAACTTGCTTTGATCCACCGGAGTGCGCAGCCCCGCCTCCCCGGAGCACTACTTTACTGCGTTATATCCGAATTTGTGTTATATCAGGTCCCGTTATATCGAGGTAGCGGTGTAAGTCACCAAACTAGTTTGTGTTTATAACCTTTGACCTTCACTGTGTTTTTTAAGGAGCTCACATAGTTGATAGACTAAATCAGGGGTAGACAACCTATGGCACGCGTGTCAAAGGCAGCACACGAGCTGATTTTCAATGGCGCTCACACTGCCCAGGTCCTGGCCACCGGTCCAGGGGGCTCTGCATTTTAATTTAATTTTAAATAAGGCTTCTTAAACATTTTAAAAACCTTATTTACTTTACATACAACAATAGTTTAGTTATATATTATAGACTTCTAGAAAGAGACCTTTTAAAAATGTTAAAATGTATTACTGGCATGCAAAACCTTAAATTAGAGTGAATAAATGAAGACTCGGCACACCACTTCTGAAAGGTTGCTGACCCCTGGACTAAATGATGATTCAGAGAGACAAGGAAGCCTGAAATACATCTGAACTCCTGAAGGCGCTGGCTCCATGTGGCTCAGCAGGAAACAAACCCACTGATAGAGCTCCAGAGAAATAAGGAAAAGGAAGGAGTGCAGGACTGCAGTCCCTTTTGCCCTGTCAATAAAACAAACAAATCACCACCCAAAAGTGCCACAATAAACAAGAGGAAGATTAGAAAAGATTGTTTTTTTAAGGGGAAGTGGAGGGGGAGAGAATGACAAACGAATGTTATATTTATTTATATCTATTGTCTCTTGAGTAAAAACATGACTGGGGGCAATAATGCCATCTCCTTGTAGTATCAGGCATTAATACTTTGCTCTTCCATAAAATGCCTTCAGTCAAATGATCTCAAAGAACTTTACAAGCACCAATAGCCTTGCAATATTCCCCAATATTGTTATCCTCACTTTCAGATGGAGAAGAGCTGGGGATCAGGTAAAGTTGATGGGGCTGAGCCAGGAACAGACCTCAGGTTCCTAATGTATTTGTATGGAAGACCATGTACTAATTTAACATCTTTCTGCTTCAGAAATGTTTAATAAGTGCTCTAGTTTGTGTTCAACTGCCCACCATGTAAAGCTGCTTTCCCTTAAGCTTAATAGATTCACTAATCTTCCCTCAGTGAAATTATGATACACTGGTACATTCTTGGAAAGTCACCACATGTATTAAGCCTGATCCTGCAAACACTTTCACAAGTAACTTTATGTGCCTGACCGTGAAGACCCTGACCGGGAAAACCATCACCCTTGAGGTTGAGCCTTCTGATACTATAGAAAATGTGAAGGCCAAGATCCAGGATAAGGAAGGAATTCCTCCTGATCAGCAATGACTTATTTATGTGCCTGAGTGTCCCTTTAACTACTCTTTGCATGTGAAGTTTAAGAAGACTACTCACACATGTAAAACTAAACCCCAAAGGCCCCAATCTTGCAAACATTTACACACATCATTGATGTTACTCACATGCGTGTTTATAGGACTGGGGTCTAAAAACTAACATTTTTAACAAAATAAGAAGAGGACAGAAGCAAAAGAACTATCACTATTGAAATGTGTGCGAGACGCCCTAAATTTTTTTTTTTTTAAAGATGGCCCTTTAAAAAACAATAAAAAGAAACTCACAAATAGGTTAGGCCAAACATTTTAAGATTTGGTTAAAAAGATACAAAATCTAATATTAAGATATGTTTTAAAAACATAATTTTTGTATTAATTTCCTGGAGTACTGGAGAACAAAGATAGATTTTCTTTTTGTTTTTATGCTAACTACAAATAACAGTAACACTACTTTATTTTTCCTAATGGTATTTTGCACTCAGCTTTGACAAAAACCACAACAAATTAATTATATTTTTAGTGTTTAGCTTTTAATACAAGATCACAGTATCACAAGTGAAGGAACTTTTTAATTTTTTAAAACGCAGTAGTGTCCACTTAAATATAGCTTCAAAAACTTGGGTTTTGAATTTTAACACTCCGTCCCTGTTTATCATGCAACAGGAGGAAACGAGGGGCGTGGCGTTGCCAGCCCCCTGCCAGCTAGTCTGATTGCTGGTTTCCAAATGCCCACAATCACGTCCCCAAGTTTTATTCCAAATCTAAGATATAAGAAATAGATTCACACTAAATTAGTGGAAAATATATAAAAAGGGAAGCCAAACCTGGCACGGCAACTGTGTAGAGAACTGCAGGAGGAAAAGCAGCCCCACAAAGACACTGGGAAATACCTCCCAGCAACACCAAGCAACCGATTCATTATTTGAAACTTTTGTGAACTTCTTTCTGAGAACCAGGGTTAATCAACTGCCTTTTAAGAGCCAACCTGAGAGCCAGGCAGACTTGTAAACAATAGAGGGACCAAGTTTGCCAGCAAAGCCAGGCCAACAGAGCAATGACCCCCCCCCCTTCCCCAACGCATCACCCTCCCCATTAATCAGAACACCAAGGGCTACCCCCTTGGCAATGCGCAGAGGGGCCAGGGAGGAGGAAAGGGACGAAAGCAGACCGAGGAGGAGGCGGCTGCTAGGTCTGGCCCCAGCACTGGGTAAGAAGCCCCGCAGAGGCAGCCGAGCGAGCTCCCTTTGCAGGACAGGCTCCACGTGGTGGCGAACAACCACAGGCGGTCGCTGCTGGATAGGAGGGTGGGGGTCTGGCTCAGCGGGGCAAGAGGCGCGCTGCAATGCCCTGCCACCGGCGCCACCCGCTCCCCGGGCAGATGCGTGCAGCTGGCGGGGACGCCTCCGCACGGGCGGCACTTG